GCGGGCCAGGAGGAAGCAATCCAGCGTCCACTGGAGAATCTGATATGTCGGGCACGGGACAAGGCGGGCCCCCTTCTGCAGCTCGCAAGGCCTAGTCCGACATTCAGCCTCAGTAGCAGTGCCGTGACATCAGCTGCAGCTACGCCGCGTTCGCGGGCCAGCACCGCTCTGAGCGACACCCTCAGCGACCTGTCTTGGCCGACAGCTTTCTCCCATGCTCATCCCCAGCTCGGGTTGGACTTGGCTCCGGTGGGCGCCGTAGAGCCGTTGGCCAAACTCGATCTGGATCCGCTGTTGTTACAGTTCGATATGGAGAGCCAGCCGCTGCTTGGGGGCCAGATCCCTCCAGTGGACGCCGAGCCGTCGCTGCGGACGTGGGAGCAGCTGATGTCGGATATTGATCATGCCGAGTCGAACATGTTTCTTCCTTAACTGGGACTGGGCGCTTCCGTCTCTTGGCCATAGACGGTTAGAATGAAGTAGTAATAAGACGATAAGGCATCCGACTGGTTATCCGGACTTTAGCTTCGGTTGATTGGGAGGCGGAGTTTTTGTTCCAATAGAGATGAGACTTTTGATAGAGCGCCGGTTTCTGGCAGAAATTATCAACAACAATCATGTTCTACGTGCTCCACATTACATACTAGTCAAATACTGTAAAGAAAATAAGACCGTTCCAGTGTAGAAGCCAGGCTCATGACATTCTCCTCATCGCACTTCAAACTCATCTACAATAGCATATCAGGCACTTTGCGCTCTATGACCAGCCCGGATGTCAGGCAACTTCCTCCATAATGCTGCCTAGATTCAAGGAGTATTGCTTATGTTAGTCTCTTTCTCCATCACAAGGGTAGCCTGCTGCAAGGAAGTCTCGGATTTTGGCGCTTCGGCATTTCCGATGTCGGATTTTAGCATCCAACACGGAGCAACAGCTCGGATTATAACACAACAAAACCTTTCTGCCGATCCCCTGCCCTAAGATAATCTGGATTCTCTGACTGAGAACTCCAGAGTTCTGTATACTCTGCAGACGCATGCAATGCCTCCTCGCATGCCATTCAACCAGGCGTTCTGGGAGGAGTACCTCTCCGGCCAGGATGCCACCCTCCCTCATCTTCCCGATACCTCAAGCGTCAGCAGCAGAGTAATCCGCATCCTCGGCGGGAATCCAGGTGCCATGCACCTACAAGGCACCAACACCTATCTCGTCGGAACAGGGTCGTCCCGCATCCTGATCGATACCGGCCAGGTACGTGCCAACCTCCTACCCAACCATTGACGCAGCTAACACAGGCAGGGTATCCCCATCTGGCTCACCCGCATCAGCGAGGTCCTGCGCTCGAACAACATCTCCATCTCACATATCCTCCTCACCCACTGGCACGGCGACCACACAGGCGGCGTCCCAGATTTGATCTCCTACAACCCCGCCTTCGCCGATCGCGTCTACAAGAACCTCCCCGATGCGGGCCAAAAGCCCATAGACGATGGGCAGATCTTTGCCGTGGAGGGGGCGACCGTTCGTGCGGTCTTCACGCCCGGCCACTCGGTCGACCACATGTGCTTCCTGCTTGAGGAAGAAAATGCCCTGTTCACTGGGGATAATGTGCTGGGGCACGGGTTCAGCGTGGCCCCCGATCTGGGGCGGTTTATGGAGAGTCTGGAGCTCATGGCGGGCCTGGGCTGTGTGCTTGGATACCCTGCGCATGGAGCTGTTATTGGTGACCTGCCCAGCAAGCTGAAGGAAGACATCCGGCATAAGGAGACGCGTGTGCGGGGGATTTTGTCAGTATTGGTGAAGGAGAAGGAGAGGGTGGAGAAGGAGGGAGGGAAAGGAGGCGGGAGGAAGGGGGGTATGACGCTGCACGAAATCGCGAGGGCAATGTTTGGGATGGTGCCGGACGAGGTGATTGACGGGGCTATGGTGCCGTTTTTGATGCAGGCTTTGTGGAAGCTGACGGAGGACCGGAAGGTGGGATTCGAGCCGGGGGATCCTGTCAAGAGGAAATGGTTTGCTGTTACCCGTCGAACGACCAGACCACCTAGGCAGTTTGGGTCGGTTGCACGTCAATAATTCTGCTCGGGTTATGCGGAGGTTTATCACCTGCGCAAGCGGGAAGACCGAAGCCCATGCTCAACGTACCGTCGCGCAAGTTTCTCAGTTAGCGATCTTGCGCTCCTGTCTGCACTTAAAGGGTTCTGAAGTCGATATTTGGCATTGTTGTTCATTCTGTATATACATCAGTTGGGAAAGACAAATGGAGTTATGAATGGTTTACTTTGAACCATACCTTCTGTTCCTCCAAACAATGCCTTTGTCCTCGCACATTCAAAGGCTAGGCAATGGCGTGTACTCCGTGCTCGACGAGTAAGCCTATGCTATGGTATTTGAAGACACTGCGAAGACCTAGTGGGCCACTACCTCAGCGGCTGACAGAAATGCCAGCAGCACCAGGCAGAGGCTCCGGAGCTCAGGCTCCTTCTTTATGCTCCATGGTCCAAAGGACTGCATCTTAATGAATTCCTCTGGTTCAGCGGTGGTCGTCGGAACTGTCCACTCCAAATACTCAACGTAACGAGTACCTGGCGCCATGAGGGTGAGGAATACCTCTTTTTTTTCCCTGGTAGATTATGAGGCGACTGATCTGTTAGCCTTGCATTTATAATATTCACGTTAATACTGAGTTATATCTACCTCTTTTCCCAGAGCTCCGGAACACCCCCAGATTGGTGCTTGAGCCATCCAACGGCCTCGGGCGTCTCCTGCATCTGGACAGGAGCCGCCTTCGTGAACCTTGACGTCGGCTTTACCTCCAGGATGGACAGAACTCTGTCTGTTCTCCTGCACCGCTCCACGCCATCAACAATAGCCGTGTACGATTGTGTCCCAAATTTGGGCACATCTCGTACTTCCGCCACTCAAACGAAATTGGAATTATCCAGGAGGACGAATACCCTGTGAAGAGGTTCCACAAAAGTGAATATCGACTACGTGCATCCAGTGAATTTGTGGCGTTCGCATCTACGTAAGCTCCCAGGGTACTTGCAGGCTCACGGGTATCAGGATGGGAGTAGATATTCATTAGTAAACAAACAAGGATTTATGCAACCATAGGACTCCTCTGGCCATTTACAAAATGCACCAGGAAGAATCTGGCACTGGAACTTCAATTTTGAGATCCTCATATTCGTTGGCTTGGAAGTAAAGCACAAAGGACGGCCACGCACAACAAGTATCTTCGATGGTGGCTAAGGGCGACTTGGATGATAATTTCGTGTCATGGACCAAGTGTAATTTAGCTACTCTTTGAATTAGGGTTTGAAAGATATAAGGGGCAATCGCATTTTTGCCAACAGCTTTACAGTAGTTCAAATGTTTATGAATCAACAGCAGCCACAGCCATGCACAATTTACATTCCCTGGCGCAAACACCAATTCTTTCAATCGCGAGGTCTACAGACGTATAGGTCAGTAGATTAATTGCCAATGAGGCAGGCTGAATGCCTTCTTGCCTTAATCTGGATGTAATTCGCGGCGAGAACATAGAGGGCTTTAAAAATGCGCAGCTGCCTACTGCAGGAATAGTATTGTGATTGTATCAGTGAGTGTAGACCGTTAATTAAGTTTTGTAGGCGCTCCAAGTTTGATGAGTCAGACCTCTCAACGATTGTTGCTTAGCAAAATAAACGTCATGAGCGGTGCTAATAGAAGAATCTCACTGAACCACATGTCAAGACTGGGAGGCTACGTTGGCGCATCTGCGATCGTAGAGATGCAGATTTTGTCCTCTTAAGGGCTGCTCTGGCCGCTGTAACGGATTCTGGACAAGCTAGAAAGTTCCCCGTATAGATTGATGCTAAGGTAGAGTATTCTGCAGCCCTGTTGGCATGTATGATAAACCTACAAAGCCCAGGATGTATCACAAGGCTTGTCCGTTAGTTTAACCGTTTCTGAGGAACAATGTTAGCCGGAGTATGCCCAAGGCGATTAGGACTACTTGCCTAGAGCTCAGCATTCGCACTTGTCAGTTATTTGAGCTTAGAAGCGATGGCATTGGCACAAGACGCTCGAAAGGAATGGCTGAGCCAGCGCATTTGGACTGTATAGATTATCAGACAGTCTTCCGTGGAGGCTGGAGAACCCTTCCAGCCAGGCATCTGATCATAGACCAGAGAGACCATCTTTCAGTTTTTGAGCAGTCGCGGCACAGTAATATCCTGGCCTCTGGTGGTGGAGAGCCTATCAAGGCATAACGACACACTTAAGTATGTAGACCGCCCAGAACAAGCTCATTTTCCTCTGTATTCCCGCTCTTCTATTGCCATAACATGGCTGCTGCGTAACGCAAGGGTCTGGCTCATAAGTGAGATACAAGCCCAAGTTAACTTACTTGCCACAGATAATCTTGCCCAGCCTCCCGAAACTCTAGCGAGATCCATAACCTCAAATCTACTACATCCGCTACACGTATGTCAGATTTTCATTAGTAATCTCATGGAATTAGCTCAGCGACGAAGGTAGTTCATTACTAAGTATAGGGTAGATTTTATTTTGAAGTTCAAAGGAAACGGTAGTTTTGCTGCTCCCTGTCTTTTGCCATGAATCCGTGGAATGATATATCCATATCTTTGGAAACATATGGAATTGCGTCACGAGGAATCTCGCGGTGTTGGACGAAGGTCCAGTAAAACCATGGAACGAAAATAGATAGTGTCAGTGAAATAGCTGTTATCCAGTAAATATACAGTGGCGCCCCAGCAAAATGAGGAAGGGCGAATAGGGTCTATGAACACTAGTAATTGGTATCTGTTGTTAAATTGCAACATATTAACGGAAGGAAGCTTACCGCAATGTACGTTGGGGGGAAAAAAAGAAACGCAAGTATGTTGAGTGACTTTAATGCAGAGCTGTCACGTCTTGCGCCTTCAGCAATTTCTTTTGACTGGATAGCAACTGACAAAGCCAGCATGCTATCTCTTTGAAATAATAGGGTGTGAATCTATGACAGATGATCAGGAGCAAAGCAATTCCAGTTTGTCTTTCCATAACTTACCGCGGCTATCTGAATCTCGGCCCGCCGCGCATAGTAGGCCAGATCAGCTTCGCGCTGTGCCAGTAACAACACGATATTATGAAGCCATTGCTCGTATTGGTCGATAGAGCCGGCAGCCAGAGTAAAAGAGCTGCTGATCGGATGTCCTAATTGGCCATATGTCTCCTGGATGGATTTGAGGTAGCACTGAAGGAAACTCAGGCGACGAAGGGAAATTGACACTTGTTGTTTTGTCGCATGTGCCCGTTTCGAAAGCTCGTTATTGAGGGTAAGGGCTTCTGTTCCAGGAATCTCTAGCCATCCATGGTACCCTGTTGCTCTTTCAATGATTTTCAATTCTTGGCGAATCTTTTCCACGTAGCCTAGGTTCGCAGCTAGGCTTAGTTCGAGCAAGACAGTAGGAACGAAAAGAGGTTGTCCTATCATATCATTGTGAGACTCCTGGGCCTTCTTTATAATGGCGTGATCGTCAGGACTAGTCCGCAATCCCAGGATCAAAGTAGTACTGCTGGTGAATTCATGGTTGATGGCGAAGACGGAGGCGAAGCTAGTTGAGAGTCGAATAGAAATGATTACAGCTGCAAGAATAGACAAGGTGTGGATCTGAGCACCATTCTTCACGTACTTGGAGGATTTAACTCACTGATGAATTTAATTTTTCCAGTAATTTCATCATATTCGATGTGCCGTGTCTCAAATCCAGATGAGGCGCGATGTTCCCAGGCATCTAACACGCCAGCAAACCTATAGCGTTGTTTAAGTTTGGTGAAGATTTCCTCGCTAATGGCGAGCTCCAGCACTTCATCAGAAGACAGAATATCACCATGTGTATCGGGGGCGACTGAAATTGTACTCGCGAAGCTAGACCGGTTGGTGTTAACAGGTTCTGAATGAGCTGGTACGTGAGGTTCTGGATAATTGGATCATACATCCACCTCACTGTGCCAATGACGTTTGGCAGACTGGCATGGCTACCCTGCTCAAGCGAAGACGAAGGCAAATTAGAATGAGAACGCATATTAGTGACGATAAGAAACATACCCTTTGGTCAAACCAACCATTAACAAGTTCTTCGCCTGTGATGGTGCCTTCATGAGATTCGCTCTGTCCGGACTGTGAAGAGTCTTTTAACAAAAATTGAGAATAATAGTTTGATTTAACTATGAACATACCTGAAAACGTCGAAGCTCTGTAAACGTACAAGGCATTGGATTGTAGCGAATATTTTTCGCTTCATCGGACTGAACCGTCGACTCCATTTCCGTAGGATGTTAATCAGTGGCGATGAAAAGAGACCAGAAGGGTTGATATCAGCTCTATACCTATGATCTTCTCCACTAGACTCTTCCATGAGGTGAGTATTTCTGTCTTTATAAACAAAAACTTCCGCACCTGCATCCGGCAAACATCCTCAGTAGTAGGCAGGGAGTAAACCCACACACTCCCATATTGCGCACCCTGGCATGGCTTGGACTGAGAGCCTTGTAAACACATGGTCTAGGCAGAAATGGGCTTCAGGCCAATCAATAGGTGACGCGTGCCTCCTGGCAAGGCTGAGTAAAAAGCAAGATGAAAAGAGCAACACATTGGCATGGTCCTGGAATTATTGACGATTGGTTCAGGGTAGTCGGATTCGACAAAAGACCAGATACTGGCTGCAAGACACCAGTGAAGAAAAAGCAAGTGTATATACACATGACATATAATGCTTTTTTTCAGCCAGTCAAATCTATAAGAAGGCGCCAAAGATTGCCTTTGTATATAATACGGACTGATGAGAAACACATCAGCAGAATCCAAAATGGCGGTGGGATATCAAGCGTGGAGGAAACGAAGAAAAGCCAAACAGAGATCAAACATGATTGCCTCTGCACCTGGAGACATCCGTTGCCATATGCCTCTCATTGATTAATGCTCAGCTTGGCTTCCTTCCCCTCATGATCTGATCAAACAAAACAACCTGTCACTAATTGGTAGTGAAAGCTTTTCTTTTGAAGGAGCACATATAACAAACAGTTAAACAGCAACCTAGGTCAACATCTCACTTGGTGGCCTGAGACACCTCCGTCTAGAATGAATGAGACAGCTCTATCAAGCCTGTATGACTGTATCCATGACTAGCCCACCCACACCGCTTCCCGCTGTGGGTGCAAATGTAGCAGCGCTCCCAAAGGTTGAAATAGCCGCAAATGCCTTAAGTAAGCCTTTGAAGTATACTGCTTCTGGAGACTCCTGTTGTGAGATGATGCCCAATTTCTGTGGCTGACACTGGTTGGTTCGGATCAATACAGAGTAGACAAAGTCGCAATCTATCATCAATATGAAAAAAGCCTTTTACCATTTAAATAAACAGCAAACGACTGATCTTTTTTAAATCCCTTGTGATGTCGGGTGTTGGTGTCATAAGCATGTCAGCTTTGGCAGTCCAAATTGTTGGACATTCAAAAGAGCCATAAATCTCCAACGTTTGAAAGTTCTATGTTCTAGATAAATCATCTGGGTCCAGTAACCAACTCTGAAGCCAATTGATTAGCTTAAGCAGTTAGCGCAAGTGCTTGAGCCCTTGGTTACGCAGAATCCAAACATTTGCCAGGGTTCACTACTGCATTTGCGTTCATACTTTCAGCTTACTTGCTTGGAGATTCAGATAACTATATGTATTTAAGGCAGCAATAACAAGCCATCATGATAACGCTCAATTAACAGGTGATCAAATCTAGACTTGAGCAGGCATCGAAATTAAAAGGCAATGGGCAAAGTGACAGGGACCCGATCATGAGATGAGCTCAAAGTGATAGGAGACGGAGGAGTAACATGATCCTAGGAAGCTGTCCTCTGGAACTGATGAAGAACTGAAATGATGAGATTTGGGTTCACTCTTTTGCCTCTGAAGATAAAATAACATCGGGATAAAACTAAAGAGTACTGTGGACCGCTTCGCTTGTGTCAATCAGAGCTAATTACCTAGTTAACCATGATTCAATGGTACCCCACAAAGTTTGTCCTTAATATGATATCTCCTTGTTTTGAGCTTGTGATAGTGACTGAGATTTCTGCAAGAAGCTGTGTGCACGGAACTATGGCATAAAATCTTTAAATGGGCGCTAGAAGCATCCAGATTCAGCAGCCTACAAGACAAATTAATCCTGCTTGCTTGATCACTCGAGAATCCAATTGCCCAATCACATGTCCCCTACAAGAATTGTGTGAGTCGATTCACTTCCTCAAGATGCCCAGGACAGAACATCGTCGCCTAATCCCAATGGGGGTACTTAGATTCAGAACAGCTGTCGACAGACTTCAGTATGGTTGCCCCTCAGAATGTCAGGACTAAAGTCAAATGGCCACAGCACATCCCTAGATGAGACTCAAAATTCATCCCTAAAAATTGAGTTCATGCATAGTAGGCACGCATACTTAGTTGCGGTACTACTCTAGCCGAGTAGATCTCTTGGCGTGTAGCATTACAACCGCCGAGCTTGTTCTAACTGGCAGAGAATCTGAACGACCTGGACTATATACAACTTCGGCGGCTGTCATACGCTGCTCGAGTTACTCCAGTATAAAGATCATTAAAAGAGCATCAAAGTGAACAACTATTTATGGACTATGAACTTATGGACATGGGGAAGCATAAGCAGAACAATCATATTCCTGTTGTTGTAGGAAAGTCTATAGCGTCATCAGGGTAACTAATCGTTGTGACATTGCCGTTTGCGGCTGATATGTTTCAAAATATGTTTCGTGATTGACTATATGATCCACATCTCGATGAGATAACCATGCGGTAAATCCTCTGCTTGTGGCTTGAGGTTACACTTTATCGAGCAGGGTACTCAGTGATGCAGCTTCTAGACACATCGTGCGCCGTTTGATGACTACGCAGAAGATATGTGGGTAACATATATATTTCTCAAACTGACCTGCCCAACATTCATCTTTTCGCCATAGTTACACATAAATTGTTTTCTTCTAAATTAAGGATAGAGGAAGCCCCCAACAGTGGTATCAAGATCCAGGCCCTCAAACAACCGGCATAGTCTTGTTTTCCGCCAGCGAAGTACTCCATCAGTAATGCCGCCTCGCAACGATCAAGATGAACAGCCAAGCGCAACGAATTCGCGCATTTCCCTTAGAAAGGCTCTGATCTGTGGCAGTGGGCTAGCGTTTTTGGCCTCTGGTAACCTTGCGCAAGCAAGAGCGATTCCTGACGGGCCGTTAGATGTCCGAAATCCAGCCCAGCCAGACACTGTCACTGGTTCCACCTCACTTGAGGGAACATATATCGACGGACGTTCTCAACAAGTGCCAGAAGATACGCTGATTTTGCCTTCTGCAAGTGACCTTCCAGAGGTTTCGGTCAATATGCCTCGTACCCCACAGGGCAGAGGAAGAGGAAGAGGAAGAGGGGGAGGGAGAGGCGGTCCACTTTCGAGACGCGCTGTCCGTGGAGAAAATATGCAGAAAGAAGACGAAATACTTTCCCGTTCGCCTCAAAGCGCCAGCGCCAGAGGATGCGACCGTGGTGGGTGTGGCAGGGGAAGAGGTAGAGGAGTGGGACGCCGCAGCATTCCAAGGCAGACTAAGCATACTGTTGCTGATAGTGAGGAAGATGTACATTTATTAATGGATGACTGATACTTTAGTCTTGACTAGTATGAATGGGCGAAATGATGGAAGTATCTGGGCAAAGGATTTCTGAATAAAAGTTATCTCTTTCTGTTATTCTGAAAACAGCTTCCTTTTTCCCGCCCATGGCAGTTCGCAAAGTTCTAGTGAGGGCATGCCATTTAAAGTCTCAGATTTGTACGCCATAGTATTTTCGACCAGAATATCTAAGCCCATCTATTAGCATCGACACACGATTTAGGCCACCTATTCACGATTCCCTGACGGTAGTTCTTTTGCTCGACTTTGTCGTGTTTCTGAGCCGCAGATTGCTGTCTGCAGTTGATATCACACCAATCTGGACGCCTTTGTCCATGTCGCAGAGACCTAGAACGCAACGTATCGGATAGGTGTGCGGAGAGCAGTAATTCAAACAATCTTGGGCTCTCTCGTCAAGACACGATGGTGCGACTCCATGCCAACAGTGTGGGTTCAATTTTGTTAGTTGTCTGCAGTTTGCTACTGTATCTACGCGCGCAGAAACTCGTTTAAACGCGACTTTGGTGGATTCTTTCATTGGAATCCAATAATGCAGCAGCACTTTTCGGTAGATGCAGCGCGTCAATGCTGTGTTCGTCACTACGCTTCTGTGTCGTCACGGGTGGCCTCAATCACATTCGCGGGAACAGCTACTTGGATGGCTCTGACCATGGCGCGAAGGAAAAAATAGTGCTTTACTTCAAGTAGGGCTCGTCCCACCAGGTACTGGAGGCGTGAGCATGTTTGCTTTATTAGCTTAGAACTGTTGGGAGCAGTAAAACTATACAGATTCCACGCATGAAGAGTAGAGGTAGCATATCAAGCTTAGTATTCAAATCATTAACACGCTACTTTACTGCTCTAACTCAGCAGCACCCATGCTGGGCATTCATCTCATTAAGCTATTAAAGAACGCCATGTTGAGCCCCTGGAAAGTCCTCCAGTCATTAACACCAGCCGTATCGGCAGGAAGTCCCACATGCGGTTGCAGAGTCATGGCTTGGCTAGGGCTGGGGTTTTCCAGAATGGACTGTTCAGGTATCTGTGTGTTTAGTCGTTCCGACAGGCCAGAGCCCCTTGAAAGTGGGAGGTTTGGGTAGTGCCACGCAAATGGTTAAGCAGCCGTTGTTCTTCCGCTGATGACACCGAAGGGAGAGATATGAACGCGTCGTTAGATACGGCAAGTGCTTATTCTCTCTGTGGGAACTCAACCAGGGTCATCTGGTGCGGCCCAGGCAGCTCACAAGAAATAGGATCCTGGCGAGCAATCTTGATGACGCCAAGGTATGGGATATGCAATCAGAGCCCATCACCTTTCTTCTCAGCACCCTTCTACCCATGCAGTTCCGAACATGAGTGCAAGGCCCTCGAATTGGAATATGAAGATCTGGTCACCTCATCAGCCGAGGCGGACCTGAACTGGGACATTGATCCCGACGATGACTACTGGCCTTACAAGCGCCGTCATGTTCGTTCAGTGTGGCGTCCTGGTCATCTAGGAAGCAGTATTTGCTTTCAAGATATTGACCACATGTCGCTAAATGCCAAATCTGATCAGGAAGATGGGGCGGATCTGGGAAGAACAAGATCCGGAGCTCGAACGGAATCATCC